AAAAAAAAAAAAAAAAAAAAAAAAAAAAAAAGATAAAGTCTCTACCAGCCACTCAGGCCATTGTCCTGATGAAGCTCACCATTCTCCCAAGGCCTCAAGGCAGCGCATACGTCCCAGCATCAGCTCGGGGTCATCCTTGTTGGTGTCCATTTTCTTATCATAGGCTACAAGAGCATCCTCCCACTCATGCAGTTTCTCATACCAGGTAGCCTGGATCTCCTGCCAAGTGCAAAAGAAAGAGGACTACTGTGAGGCACAGAGAACAAGGGGGTCACATTTTAAATCCATGCACTCCCTTTCCTAAGGTGCTGTGTGGTATGCTGGACACTTCACATCACAATATGTCTGGGCTTGGATTGTAAAGAACTTCAGTCTATCTGGAGGTATGTTGTTTGCGGAAGGTGAAAATGCCAGTCCTTTGCACACTGATGGAACGATCCTGGGATAATCTGAGAGCAGATGTCAGAACATGCTCCTCCCCATCACTTCCTGCCCAGACACAGAGGTCACCAGAACACCAGCATGTGGCGATGCAAGGACAGGGGAAATCATTCAGGGACAGGACAGAGACCTGACCAGAGCTCCTACAAAGGTGTCAAGGCCTCCATCTGCTGCAGTGCTGACACTGGGCTGGCTACTTGGCAGGGATGGCAGCTGCTTTCCTGATAGGGCCAGAAAGACCAGGCCATATCTGCATATTTGCTGAAGGAAAACAACTCACTTTTTGAAAGCTCTTGTTTCTCTGCATTTCTTACACATTGTTAAACTTTCAGGAAATGATAATTTAAGATACGATTTAATACTACCAACTTAAAATTCTTTGGAAAACCTTTCCCCCCTTCTTCTAGAGTCTCCCATCCAATGTTCCCTCCTGCTAAGTGCTTGGCAGCTTTACCAGTGTCAGGGGCCAAAGGAAGGATTCCATTACTCTGGGCGAATGGTGTGCCATGCTGAAACAGAATGTCGTGCACGCAAGGAGGCAGTGCTACAGTCTTGAAGTTACAGGCTACGACTATTGAAATGATCAAAAGATCATGTTATGTATTTCTGCCTGCCCTCCATCTGCCCTCTACCTCAGTTTGTCCTCTGGGCTTCATCACCATCAACTCAGTAAATGTCTATTTCTCTAAAAGGCCAAAGCAGTGGCTCTCCAGGGATTCCTTTAACAACAATATGGAATTCCACAGTGGAATTTGTATGATATAATACACGGCCCATATTAGCTTTTCCCATTACCTTCCTCCCCTTTCTAAATAAAATTGATGTTTTTGTAGTACATATACTAACAACTACTCTGCTAAGCTGTCTGAAAGAACCTTTTCTTCTTGAACCTCTGTAAGAAGGTCATTTATATTTTAGATTGCTAACTTGTACCTACTTCACCTAGTTTGTTTTTGGTGGAGCCAATACTCTCTGCTGCTCCTGTACTAATTCTGCTACCACAAAAGCCTTTTTCCTAATGTCAGTGGAGTTTGTCCAAATAAGCATATCTGGCTCCATGAAAGGTAAATTCTCTAAGCTTCATTTTCTAAGCCTATCTAGAATAATGCCTCTCTATTATACCTAAATATGGAAGAGAAAACTTAGAGAGAAGAGTGACTACAAAGACAGTGTAAAATTAAAAACTCTTAAATTAAAAAGCAGCACTGGTAAATTTCCCAGTTTGAATTTCTATATCTATACTGGATGGAAAAGCAAAAAGGAGGTAATTACTAATGTGGGGCATACACTCAGTATGAACAAGCGGAAAGTAGAGGGAATAGCATATGGAGCAGGTCAAGTAGGGGGCAGGATATTTTGAATTGCAATAGATTGCAGAAACTATACAGTTTAAGCAATGAATCACACAAAATTCTAATGAGATTGCTGTTACATAAATTGTGCTGAGAAAGCGCATGCTCTGCCAAGAAAAAGCAAACCATTGTCAAGCTTAATAGGATTCAGCTACCTAAATATAACAGAAAATCCACCACGGGTTTAGCCATAATCCTGGAGCTAATGGCCACCTTTGGAACCTGAAGATGAAGGGACTTTCATTTAAGGTTGGCATTCTGAGCACTGGCGTACAAACCATCTGTTGGCAGCTCACCTGAATACCAGATGTTTGTGGAGTCCTTGTTTCAGTCAGCACTTACTGGGACCTAAGCTCTAAGGATATCAAAGAAGAGTACATCTTGGTCTAGATGGAGTATGTTAAGTGCCCTGTGGGCCTCCTTTCTTCCCTCAGCAAACAAGGATTGTGGCAAAGATGTAAGAGACATGGTTCTTCCTATTTTGCCATCATCTGGAGAAATGCTGTCTTAGTCTAGTTACAGATAATGTGTGCTAAAGATGGCAAAAGATTCCCTTAAAAGTTTCAGTTCAGTTTACTAACGCTGTGTGAGGCAAAGTGCTAGACAGTCAAACAAAAGCCTGTGAGACACTCACAGTTTTCCTTACTCTAACACCCTGGGCTTTTGATTAAGGCACACCAGAGCAAGTGACCTACATGACTAACAGAAGTTTCCTCTTCAAATACATGGACCCCGAGCTTCTTGACCTTCTAAGAATTCAATTCTAAGTTGATTAAGTTGATGCTTAGTATATTTTGGAAGCTACCAAGGAACCCTCCCAAGACCACAAAGAGTAATAGAAACATTTTAATACTGGTCGGGCAAAGATGGCAGCAGAGAAGCACCTATGTAAGCAATAATGAAATACAAAATCCCTCAATATCAGGTATAAATGATAGTATATATTTTTTCTGGAGAATTGGCCATGGTTTCTTTTGAAGTATGTACTAAGTGTCAACCACGGGCCAGATACAATGTAAGCTGCCACGGATGACACAAGGATAACTCAGATCAGGGTTAAATGCCTGGGCTCTGATGACAGAAAGCTCAATTCAAGTCTTGGTTTTGCCATTTATTCACTGTCAGCTCGGACAGGTTCTTAATCTGTTGGGACCATAGTATTCTTATCTGTAAAATGGAATAAAAATAGTAACTACTTCACAGCACTGTTGTGAACACTTAATTAGATAAAGTATACAAAGCACTTAGCAAAGGGCTGGGCACATGCTAAGAACATGGTAATATCAGTAGTTACTCTTTATTAGATTCCACCCTCACCATCTATGTTTAGTTTGAATATAGTCCCTATAGTCATTGTGTCTTTCATTCTTTAGATATAGGTAAGTCAGTGTAAGACTATTACAAATAAATAGAGAATAAAAACCAAAAAAACAAAAAACTGAAAAGGAAAGTAACTTTCCCAAGGTCTTGGCCATATGCTTCCCTAGCCAGGTCTCCACCTCTTGCTTTTCTAAAAGGAATGGGGCACTTACCAGCTCTCCAAAGTGTTTCATGGCATATTCTAACACCCCAGCAGCTGCCTCGGGTTGCTGTAGCTTATTATTAATGCTGAGAAAACAAAAGGAAGAGGTGGTTACACTCCATGTGTCTGAGGGTGAGAGGTGTGGGCAGATGGCTCCCTGGCATGTTGGGAGCAATGTCCTGCAGATGCAGAGAGAACATCAATGATCTATCACCACCCAGAAAGCACAGTTTGAACGACTTCATCTGAGGAAAGGTTTTTGATCCTCTGCCCCTAATTTGCAAGGGGAGTGGTGGGGGGGCACGGATAGTAAAGTAAAGGCTTATATTTGGTGCTCGGGGCCCTTCCTCCAACCAGCAGACTGGTTCCCTAGAGGATGTCAGTCAGGCAGCTCATGTCTATTTTTGAAAATCTAAAAACCCCAGATCCAGAATGGTCCCTGTTACAGCGCATGACCATGTGAGATCCCTCTGAACTTTTGACTCTTACTTCTCATCATTTGCCTTCAGTGGTAGGAATAACCCAAATTAATCAAAATCATTGGACTTTGTGAGAAACACAGAGCCGGCACTGAAGCTGGGCCATCCATGTCAGTGATAGAGAACCCGGGGCTGTGGCTGTGCAGCCATGCTGGCTGTTCCCTGACAGAGCCCATGTCCTTCAAGTCCACATGCCTCCTTAGTCTCTCTTCAGGGACTACTCCATCCCCCTGGAATAGGCTGTCAAGGGACCACTTCTAGAATTACTGGGACTGGCCTCTGGCATAGAAACACTTTTCACTAACGACATCCTGCTTTGCTGATGTGTCTGCAGGCAGTATGTGCAGCGGGGCTGGAGAGCCGAGCTGTATTGGGGCAACTGGGCAGTGCCACTGGAAGGCCTGATGCCTGTAGTCGGTTAATCAGAGTGGCTGTAAGGACGCCCCAAAAGCAGGAGAGCCACGGGGCTTAGACTTGTTCCAATAGGAACATAGGCAACCAAACCCAACACTAAACATAAGCCTGAGTTAAGGAAGGAAGGAAGGGAGAGAGGCAGGGTGAAGGAACAGGCTAGAGAAGTCAAAGAACAATGATTATATTTGTTTATAGGTAGGGAGCAAAATGTGACACATCAACTTGTGAGTCTAGACCGGTTTAACGAGCAAGGATCCAGTTTATTGCCCTGAGTACAAACTGTCTACTTGACTAGAATTAATTTTTAAGTGGTTTTGGGAAATTCTAGTATTTGGGCTCAATGTGGTAATATGGCAAGAGATTGCTGTTATAAATATTATTTTTAAAAATCCAAATTCCACATTTCTTCCAATAAAAACAAGAGGGAACTGCCCAGAAATCTGATAAACTAGAGAACTTAACATTTGTGAAAGTAATAATCTAATGCCTCATGTTTACAAAGCATACTTCAAATAATCTTTCCAATCTCATTCCTTTGACCCCATGGATCTCTAAGAGAGTGGGAAGAAAAGGTATTATCAGCCCTGAAACTAAAGGCCCAGGAACGACAGTGATTTTCCCCAAGGTTCACAATAAATTGGGATAGCCCTCACATTGTCTGAACCAATCTTACGTCTCTTTGTTAAGGACAAGTGGGGGGTGAAGCGGTTTTAGATTTGGAGTCAGAATATTTGAGTTTAAATTTCTGGAGGTGTAATTCCACCACTTATAAGCTGTGTGACCACAAACAAGTCACATTTTTTGAGTTTTGAATTCCTCATCTATAAAATGGGGTTAATTCCATGTCCGTCACAGGGTTCTTCAGGGATTTAAATGAAACAATGGATATGAAACTGCTAAGCAGGTCCTTATAAATCTTGTTCCTTATTCATCTGTTTTTGTCCAAAGATAAAAGTTGCTAGAAACACAGTTACATGTTTGCCTGTAGGAAAAACATACACCTACAGTTGACACTTAAGCTAGCACTAGGAAAGGGCTGGCTGGTTAGCTCACTTGGGAAAACATGGTGCTGGTAACACAAAGGTCATAGGTTCGGATCCCCGTACCAACCAGCCAAAAAAAAAAAAAAAAAAAAAAAGAGCTAGCACTAGGAAGTCATCAGTGCAAGTTCCAAACTCTTCCTGAACAGGACTATTCGAGCATCCAGTATCTAGGTTCTGCAACCAGAGGTGGAAGTCACCGTACGGATGTCTTCTTCCTTTATTTACAGGAGTAGATAGGCAAACTCATGAGGAATTCTATTGCGTGGGCCCACTGGTGCTTCTTGTGCCGGTCCTAAGCAAAGCAATGAGGCAGAATGTTCTCCATAAGTTAGTGTGCTGCAGGATTCAGAATTGTTTTTAATTTTAAAATGAAACCACAGCATCCCACTTTCCTTTAGAAAGCCCTATATGAGCTTTTCTAAGCCAAGAATGAAAAGCAAGTCTAAAGGGACTAACTTCACCATAGTTTCACTGTGAAGCAGTTCCTGATTGCCTTTTGGCCCCATAAGTCAGGCACTGGACTCTGTTGCACACTTACATGGAGCTGGGTGAACTGTATTGATAATTAATATTACTAGGTATTGATTTGTGATTATCTAGTTCCTTTAACCCAAATAAAGATTTTGGAAGCATAAGGAAACAAGGAAAAAGAAAGCCAGTATATGGTCTATATATTAAAATATATACGATAATTTTACATTCTCTGTAATATATTCAGTGGACTTTTGGGATGGCCTTGGTAGCAGTATACTCCCGGTAGGAGGTATAAAATTGTTCTGATGAAGAAAATAAGTGTTCTTTGCCTGAACCAGAGAAGTTAACTCTGAGAAACAGACATAAAAATCTGGGAGTTCTAACAACTGTCTTCCATTGTGTTCTGGAACACATTCTATTTTCAAGAACAAATTATGAACTTCAAAGTTTGACCCATTCTGGGGACAAAACAACACAAAACCAAAACCAAATAAAAGCCTCTTCCTAACCCAATCTCCCACTTATTATGCATAAAAAGAGAGTTTTACAACAAACTGATCAAAATTAGGAAGTAGTGATTAGAGACCTCAAAAGAGAAATGTAAATTTTACCTTAATATTGCTATGGCTTTGGTATATCTCCTCTAAGGACAAACTATCATAGCTTTGCAAATTAAAAAAGAAAATTCACCATGTGGCCCTAACACCTTTAAGAGAAAGTCCAAATAAGCCATCTGCAAAATACTTTCCAACTGAATGTATGTGGAGGCAGGTGAGGTTGCAGACAAGCTAAGCGGGAAAGAAAGAGGGCAACAGGTAGGGCTCACTGGGGGACCACTGACCAGACCTTTAGCAACTACCATGAAACTTGGGAGTGTACCTTGAGATTCATGATAAGCTCTTGTCCAACAGCAGTAAGGTCAATCACTGAAAAATGACAAGTTTGGCTAAATGGACTAAAACATACACATGAAAAATGAGTGGGCTCAGTCTGAGAAACTGAATTCTTGGTCTCTGACTGAACAGCCTGAAGGAAAGAAGGCAACTGTACTCTTTCTCTCTGATTCTTCAAAGAGTAAAGAGAATTTAAGCGAACCAGCTGCTATCACCCTGTTTATTCTTTTCTCTTTTTTTTTTTTTAACTTTAATTTCCTATAGAACTTTCTCCTTATGCTACATTTCTATTCTTTCCTTCCGAGGAGTCTCTCGCATGCCTACAAGGCTGCTGGAGAATACTAACTACAGACGTGGACTTTCTGGAGAAGTAAATGAACAGCAGGCATAATCTCGGTGATAAGAAGAGTCTGTCATCTTCTTTGGGACCTTAATTTTTTCTTCTTCCTCCATGACTTCTGGCAGTCCATCATGGGAGGCAACAATGACAACAACAACAAGATACAAGAAGATACCTAAACAAGAAGAGAGATCACGGTATGTGTCAAGCACTGTGCTTACTGCTTATATGTGTTATCTTAACCCTATGAAGTAGATACTAGTATTAATATTCCCATTTTACATATGAAGAAAATGTGGCCCAGTAGGTCACAGGATGTTCGATGTCATCCTTTCCTTTCAAAATCTCACCATTTAAAAGTATCTTAAGTAACAACTAAGGGTACACTATAAGCTCTGCAGTGGGAGGGATGGTCTCTTAGCTTTCTACCCTCAGCATCAGTAGGCACCCAGTAAGTACCTGTACAATCAGTGAGTGAAAGCAGTGGGTGGGATGTTTCAATTAGCTAACTCTCGCTGTATAATTTGCTGTGTAGGAGAAAGGAGCCCTCCTGTGCCTTCATTTTAACTTCCTCACTGACACTATAGCTAACCCTTCTCTCTGACACACAAGCTCCCATCTCACACTTCTTATTTCCTTTTGGAAGCTAGTAATATACCTTAAAGTCTCCCACATGACAGTCAGCATGCCACCACAGCAAGCTTTTCCAAGGAAGTTTGTTCAAAGCTGGCAGGCTTACAGTGTCCAGGTTGCAAAGTACAGGATAAATAAGCCTCTATGGAAACTCAGGAGTTCCTAGATACTAAGTCCCCAGTCTCCTGCCTACTTGGGTGACACAAGGCTGTCCTTTGAAATATTCTTCCTTTAAACTCAGATGTGGTTTTATGAGACTGAAGGGAGAGACTGTATGTTCAGCTCATGTGAAGAAATCACCTTTGCTCAGAAGCCCCCTTAATGAAGAACTCTTGTTTTATGGGGCAGCTGGGAGTTTTATAAAGCCCATTTCATAAACACTCCCATGTGTACCCTTCAGTCTTTCCCTATTAATGCTGGAGGCTTATAAAGGGCAACCTGTTCAAAGCCCCAGCCCAAAAGCATAGGAGTGTTTAACAACACAAACCAGACCCTACTGATGGTCCAGTGAAAAAGATCCAACAAACAAGTTTGGAGAGACCAAGGTTTGGGCAGCAACATTCCCATGATGGCAGTGTGCAGAAATGTCTGGTCAACCAGATCTCCCATCTCCACTAGACGTGCACTGAGGATGGAAGGAAAAGAGAACTGCGCTGCAAAAATTTTCTAAGCTAGTGTACACTGATTCCCACTGCTGTCTTAATGTGGGTGTAGGGTATATTTGTATTCTACTCCATTTTCAGTGAGAACATCCAGTTGCAATCTTTAAATCTACAGGCAAACAGAAACTGCCTACCTGAATAATAAAGC